AACCCTAGGTCTCCTTGGCACAGGCAGAAATTTTCTTAATAGAGATCCAGAAACACAACAAATCAAAGAAAGGTTGGACAAATGGGATTGCATGAAATTGCAGAGCTTCTGCATGACAAAGGACATAGCTAGCAAGATCAATAGAAAGCCCATGGAATGGGAGAAGATCTTCACTAGCCATACAATGTACAAGGGTCTCATATCTAAAATACACCTTGAACTCAAAAAATTAAATCCCCCAACAACAAATCCTCAAAGAAACAACTTCCCAATAAATAAGTGGGCTAAAGACTTAAAGAGAAACTTCTCTGAAGAGGAAAGAAGGATGGCCAATAGACACATGAAGAAATGCTCAACCTCCCTAGCCATAAAAGAAATGCAAATCAAAACAACATTGAGATACCACCTCACCCCAGTTAGAATGGCTATAATCAAGAACTCTAATAACAACAGATGTTGGAGGGGATGTGGACAGAAGGGAACCTTACTACATTGTTGATGGGAGTGTAAACTTGTTAAACCACTTTGGAATGCAGTATGGAGGTTCCTCAAAGACTCCACATAGAGCTCCCCTATGACCCAGCAATCCCACTTCTGGGTATTTACCCAAATGATCACAAACAAGACCATACTAAAGCTACTAGCACAGCTATGTTGACAGCATGATCTTATCAAAGAAAATCCTAAAGATTATATTCACAGGTATTCTTGCGCATGTGCACGCGTGCACAAACACACACACACACAGAACTGATACACTCAGTAAAGTTGTGATATAAAAATTAATATATGAAAATCAAGTATTAATATATATTAACAATCTAAAAACAAAATCAGGAAACTAGTCCTATTTACAATAGCTACAAAATAATAAAATATGTAGGAATATACTCACTCAAGTAGGTAAATGAGTTATAATTTGAAATCTGTAAAGAATTTGTTAAAGAAACTGGTAACATAAATAAATCGATAGCCTATGTTCATGATTAGAAATAATACTAATAAAATGTCCATACTACTCAAAGATATCGAGTGCAATCCATATAAAAATTCCAATGTTATTTTTCACAGAAACAGGGAAAATAATCTTAAAATTTGTATGGAAACACAAGAGGTCCAACATACCCAAAGCAATTTTGAGTAAAAAGAACAAATCTGGAGTCATTGCAACACCTGGCTTCAAAATATACCGTGAAGTTAGAGTAAACAAATTATATTGGTTGTAAAAAGATAGCCAGTGCCAGTGGCTCACACCAGTAATCCTGCTACACAGGAGGCTGAGATATGAGGATCACAGTTTGAATCCAGTGATGGCAGGAAAGTCTGTCAGACTCTTATCTCCAATAAACTACTAAAAACAGCTAGAAGTACAGCTGTGGCTCAAGGGCACTAACTAGCCTTGAACAAAAGAAGCTCAGGGACAGCACCCAGACCCCAAGACTGGTATACACACATACACAAAGAAAGATATATAGACCAAGAGAATAGACAGAACAGAAATAAACTCACATTCACAGTTGACTGAGTTTTCAATCTAGGTGCTAAGAACCACATATTGGGGGGAGGAACATTTCTTTAATAAGCAATATTGAGAAACTAGACATTCAAAGTAGAAGAAAAAAACTGGACCTTCACCTTCTATCATGTATGAAAGTCACCCAAATGGATTGAATACTTAAATATGTAACCTTAAACCTTACTTTTTAATAAAACATGATTTTTTTTCCAAATCTTTCCATTTCCTTATATATAGGGCAGTATCATTCTTTCTGATGGAAGCATAGAATTCCAAAGAAACAGATCCCATGGTTTTCCTTAGTTGCAATAATCAGTATACATCTAGGATAATCTTAGTAGATGAGCAGAATAGCTCAATAGCCATGTACATATAACCATATAAGATGATGCTAAGCAAAATGAACTCCAAGACATGGACATAAGAGGTTTTTCTTTGCTGTTTTTTTTTTTTTTTTAATGTGCTATGTGATTTCTTGTTTCTTTTGTGTGTTCTTCTCCCTATAGTTTATCCTTTGTTGTCACTGTATTTGATTTTTGGTGTCCTGAGTATTGCATATATGTTTATATGAATTAGGGAAGGGAAGGGAAACAACAAAATGGTGAAATAAAGGACAAGCAATACTTGCAAGACAATATGGTGGAAATGATCTGTACAACTTGGGGAGGGGGATGGGCGAAGGAAAAGAGGGAGAAAACTGAGGGAGGGGAAAACAAGTTCAACAAGAAATGTACTTATTACCTAACTTATGTAACTGTAGCCCCTCTGTATACCATCTTGACAAAAATAAATAAATAAATAATAAAAAATAAAGCACTGGGGAAAAGCTTGATTGTGTTAATTCAATCAAAGATTAGTGTTATTCTCAAGGAAACTAACGTTAGTATGCTTTTTTTGTAGATCTGAATCCTAAAAAAAAAGCAGGAAACAAAAGCAAAAGTAGACAAGTAAGATTTCATTAAACTAAAATGCTTCCACCTAGCAGAGAAACATTCAACAGAGTAACAAAATATTCTATGAGGGAATCATATTTACAAATCATACATATGGTACGGGATTACTATCTTGAATATATAACTAACTCAATAACAAACATTAACTTGGTTAAAAATGGACAAAGCACTTAACAGAGATTTCTTAAAAGGCAACAAACAAATGGCCAATAGTCCTAAGGGGAAAAAAAAAATACTTAGTATCACCAATCACCAAGGAAATGTAAATTAAATCCACACTGAGCTATGACTTCACACATTAAAATGGCTATTATCAAAAAGACAAAAGTGTTAGCAAGGCTGTGAAAAAAAGACAAAAGGAACCCCTGTAAGTCTTTCCATGGGAATGTAACTTAGAGTAGCCATTATGGAAAACAGTTGGGAGTTTCCCTCCCAAATGTAAAGGTAAAACTATGATGTGATCATCCAGCAATTCTAATACTCAGTATATATCCAAAGGAAATGAAAGCAGTATGTCAAAGACTGTCCTCCCATGTTTTCTCAATAACCAAGATCTAGATAATCAATATAGGATAATGTGGTACATACTCTTCAGCCTTAAAATAGAAGAAATAATTTAATTTGAGACAACATGGAACAACTTGAAGGACATTATTCTAAGTGAAATAAGCTAGGCACAAAAAGACAAACAATGCATGATCTCATTCATATATGGAAATTTAAAATGTCAAAGTCATAGAAGTAGAGAGTAGGGATGAAGGATGTTGGACAGGAAGAGATCTTGAGATCCAATAATACAGCATGTTGAATAGAGTTAATGTCTTATATTTCAAAATTTCTAAGAGTAGATCTTAACTGTTCTCATCCCAAAATATGACTTAACTGAGATTATGTTAATTAGCTTAGTGCCACTGTTCCACAATGTCTGTTAAAATTAAAAATAGAAAATATAATTGAAGTTTCTTCATGTTTAAAGTTGTAACAAGATTTATTTTGCAAATTACAACTTACAAATACTAACAAATTTTCTACTTTTCCACTTACAGTGCTTAAATAACATTAAGACTTTGACAGGTGGTAATGATCTATAAAATAAAATAAAAACCAAGCTACCAGTGAACCGATAATGACAAAGGGAAAATCTCAACCTGGAAGAAATGATCTTCAAAAACTTTACATAGGAACTATTTCTATATAATGCTGTACCAGACAAAGTGAAGCAAGGAAACACATTTCCCAGAGCGGATGTTGGGTCATGATGCAAAATGCATTCAGGAGCAGGAAGGTAATCTGCCTTGGTGATGCAGAGCAGAACATTGTGAAAACAAAGACCAGCTACGAAGTGCATGTTCTAGAACTTGTAAGACTTCAAATGTGTATGTGTGTGGTACATGTGTGTGTGTGTGTGTGTGTGTGTGTGTGTGTGTGTGTGCATTACACACAGTGTGCTGAACAACAAATGACTGGGGTTGAATTCTTCCCATGAACCGCCATTTTACAATATCGATGGGGAGACCACGAGGAATGCTTCATTTTACATTTCCATTTATGGAAAATTTCTCATTCCTTGGGCCATTTAGTTCTAGACATTTCATTATCAACCCTTCCCTTTACTTTCCATATGAGAAGAAAAATGAGAAGACTCCAAAATTTCTGGGGTGAAATGAACATAGTAATTTAAGTTTCATTGCCTAAGAACTGGAAAAGAGAAACTACATCTCATCTTCTAAAATTCAACCTAGAGGACAGATTTCATGGGATTCCAGTTATCTAGAGCAGACACTGATATAAATCAGGTGTACTCAAGATTACATAATACATATTGAAATCCTACACACAAAGAACTGAACAGTAAAGGAAAAGATTATCTTAGTTTTATTCTGAAGGCAAAATCAAAATTCATTAACTATACACTGGCCTCATCCCTCAGTTTCCCAAAGAACCATCAGAGTATTGAATTTAAGACCACCTCAGAGAGAGGATGTTTGCACAACCCAGTTAAATTATTAGTACTGCAACATTCATCATTATGCAATGAAAGTGTGGCTTGGATGACACCAATACCAACATAACACCGCTTCGTTAACTCCTGCAATTTATAACTCAAGTACTAAAATACCTGTTCAGCCCATGAACCAAAAAAAAAAAAACCCTCCCTTGATTACACAAAATCAAAACATCTGGTTAATATAGAAAGAATTTTTGTTTATGTATTCAAACATTAGATATGAAAAGGTCTTTTTCTTCACTCATGTATTTTTAGATAGAATAAATCTCACTGTTTCCTTTTAGTATGTTCAGAGTTAGGACAGAATTTATGACAAAATTATGCAAGCAAATCTTGGGAAAGTTTTTCAAAACATACTACAATTATGTTAAGTATGCATCCCACATACGCAAACACTGGGATGCAATTTTTTTAAGTGAACAAAACTGTATCAGATAAGTTGAATTTAGGTGCCTCCCTCACCCATTTTGTAAAATTACATTATTGTTGAGACAGTGATAACATTTCAATCTCAGCTACTTACTGTGGTTGGAAAATAGCGACTTGTTTTGAATTTTTTCAGAGCCATAGAAGAGGTGTAGGTGCCGAAGAAAAGGATGAAAGACATGAGTGTGATATCTGGAACAAAACTGCAGTTGTTCCCCACAAGCTTTCCTCCATATTTCAAACACTCCTTTGTTGACAAATATGCCCAGTGAACGGTAGAATTATGATACTGAAAAAGAAAAACATCCATTTATGATTTTTTTTTAAAGAGAACACTGATGTATCCAAGGCAGCTTTGGATATCTGAGGGTCTTTACAAGGATTATACTAGACATTTCTGTAAAATGGTCTGAAGACAGCCACTGAAGGATGTAACTTGACCAGGTATAAGTAGAATAAAAGGAGTGAGGGGGGAGAACTGGAAGGAAACAAGGAGGCTGGCAATTACACAATGGGTTACAATCACCCAATTGTTCAATAGAAACAAGCCACAAAGTCCTTCTTTCCTTCCGGCCTTCCTGAGAGTAAACTGAGACACATGAATATCCTAATTCTCAAAATGTGAACCTCTCTCAAATACATTTATTGTTTAAGAAGCATTTAACTTTTATCATGCGTCTTATGTGTCTACCTTAAGGCTCAAGAAACACTCTTGAAAGTTGCACTTCCACAACTAGGTCGTTTCCTGTCTAAATAAGTTCAGTGAGAAGAGGGGGGAAAACCCGAGCAACAATGAAAATGTGCCTGGTCCCAGCCTTTCCAGTTGCAAACCTAATGCAGCAGAGCCCTGATCTCCACTGCAGGTCGGCATTATGAGTAACCGTTATTGGAATGGCTGTGATACAGCCATGTAAAGGACACCCAGCCCTGTGTTACATGACACTATCAGTTTTCGTGTAGTGCTATTAGGTGGCCAGTGCTGTACTTCTCTCTAGCAACTCACCTTTCTTCCTCTTTCCTATTAAGATTGCACAGAATGATCCTTCTGCTAGGATAGCAGGTAGAGCAGGTAAAGCCAAAGCACTCTTCTCCACCTGCTTTCAGTAGTAGTTGCTATCAATTCATATCTGGCCATAGAACTAACTGCCTTTACTCACCCACATGCTACCTTACCTAGAATGTGATAACCAACACTAACAAAGGGTAAAAACTGTTCCCTTTGTCTCTGAGTAGAAGCAAGCCTGTGGTATAATTTATGCTCCAGAAGGGGGCTTCCCAGTGAAATCAGGCTGATACAAATCTCTGCTGAGACCACATCTTTGTTTAATTCCTACCCTGTCCTAAACTGCGTCTCTCCTTTTGTTTGTATTGAGCTCATCCTCTCAACTAATTAAATGCGCCTGAAATTCATATATATGAATCTGCTTCTAGAACAGCCAAGTTGCTTTGGTTACTGGCCAAGTGAAAGCTAATGGCCTCTAGGCCTTAGGAATTTTTCCTAGAGTATGACTGTTTGAAGGAAACTCAAAAATAATTTCTCACCCTTTGTGTTCAATAGTGCCAAAATATGGTTGTTTGCTGTGATGGAAATTTTCAAGTGGCTCATTCCCTTACTTCACAAGATTTCTGCGCAGCTATTTTTAATATATGAATATTGTTAAATATTTATACTTTAATTGAGTTTCTGTTGCTGTAGGGAGCTTCTGTATGCTGTGACAATAATGATAGTTTTCTGAGAGATATTTTCAAAAATTTACCAATGCCAGTGCGATTGGGTACAAAAGAATGGATATCTCATCTTGGAAATATTCTTTTTCTGAGAATGAAATTATTTAGGAGTGCTTAAAAGAATTCTAAATCTTGAGCAACAATTGTCATCTGCATGAAGAATAATGGGTGGGTGCATGTGTACATCCCCAGGTTTGTACCTGTGTTTGCATGTATATGCAGTAATTCTTTAAAAAATTTATTATTAAGGTATGTACAGAGGAATTACAATTATATAAGTCAGATAATGAGTATGTTTCCTTTTGAACATTATCACCCACTACCTCATTCTCTCCCAGATTTTCCCCTCCCATTTCCCCTCCTTCACCAAGTTGTTGGAAATAGTCTTAAGTATCTACAAAACTTGCAACCTGTTTTGTCCAGCGCTAATAAGTATGTTGTCTCCTTATATGCAATTAATGTGGAAAGATAAATTTCTTCTCCCCTTTACAGGCAAGAGTTCTGCCTCACACCTAACAAATCATTGACGGCTTTTATTATTCTATGAATTCTCATGAGTCAAGGGATCCATCCATTAAAAAAAGCCAAAAATATTTCATACTTTTTACAACTCAAAAGGTAAAAATTCTTACATAGTTCAGTAAAATTATCAACTTTGATTTTAGAAGTATTTTTCTATATTAACTTCAACTTGTTAAGCAGAGTATTTGCATAACAACTCTTTTATTAAACCCTACTTCTGAAAGGTGAGTGTGTCTCATTTAGATTTCTGAATATGGATGCTTTCAAGAAGAAAAAGAGTTAATTTTTAGAGGTCATAAGAAGAAACCCATTTTTTGTTTTAAAGTCAACAAGAATGTACCCTAATTCCACTTCAACAATTTACTATCCAGAGAATCCTTCTTAATAGGCAGAGCTCCCACAGAGCCATAAATACATTGAAATCCCAACACGTGGTTTTTTTTTTTTTATTTTCTTACAAAGATTCACGTTGAAGTGAAAACTATATAAATGCACGTGAAATTACAGACTTTTTTTTTCTTGCTTACATAAAGTATGCTGTAAGCCCTGAGTGATTTTGAACTGTTATACTAAAACTTTGGCCTCTAAATCCTGTCCACCACTAAAGCTTGAAGCATACAACTTTTAGAAAACACATACATACCTCAGCATACATAATATTTCAAAACACAAAGCTTCCTACTCTCATTTTTGTTGACTTTAAAACAAAAAAGGGTTACTTCTTCTGACCTCTAAAAATTAACTCTTTTTTTCTTGAAAGCATCCATATTCAGAAATCTAAATAGTTAATAAAAATAATTTCAATACCACTCAAAAGATATCTATCTGGCCAGATGTGATAGTACATGTCTGTAACCCCTGCTAGGCAGGGAAGGAGGAATGCAGCCTGAAGCTTCCCTAGGCAAAAACAAGAGACCCCACATGAAAAGTACTAAAGCAAAACGGTGTAGCGATGTAGCTTATGTAGCAGAGCACCTGCCTACCTGACAAGAGGCTCTGTTTCAGTTCAACCACCAATGTGTTCCAAAAAAAAAAAGTAAAGACACATATAGTTGTGTAATTTCTGTATAAGCTGAAGTCAACCAATGTTAATTCCATGAAACCTCAGACATGATCCATACCACAAATAAATTACTCAATAGCCGCTACCATTACCTGTGTTCAAGTCACTGTTGTCTCTTGTGTGCTGAATCTGGGATACTCTTAACTCATCTCATTGCTCCAGTCTTTTACCCTTTTATAGGTGACTCATTTCTCTAGAGTGTTAATCCTTATTTCTTATTCAGCATTCTATCAATTATGTGCAAATGGCCAGGTCAGAACTTAAAGAACAAGACAAATGGGTATATATCTTCAGAAGTTCTGGCGACCTGCGCTAATAGCCCTCATAGTGCTTTATCTCTTTTTCTCAGGATGCTTATAACATTCTATGGCAATTATACTACAGTTCTCATAAAGTTTCATGTTATGAATCTGGATAGGGTCTAGAAAGATGTTTAATTGGTCAGGAGACTTATTTCTATGAGAAATGAAAAGTTTGTAAATGTTTACTTAGGACTCCTTTGCAAAGAGAAGATCATAGAGTAATAAGATTTAGCATAGCTACAAAGGGAAAATAAAAGTGTCTAAAACATTCAGTGTATACACAAATGCAAGCGAAGATACCACAAAAGATTATGAAAGTCATCAAGTGAAAGGTAAAAGGAGTACAGTGAGCTGAGAAATGAGTGGGAGTAAAATTTGCAACAGTGACCACAAACTTTCTATATTTTTTCAAGAAATACAGTCAAAGAAGAGGCTAGAATACAAGGGCATGGCAACGTCAAAGCAAGTTTCTCAGGGATAATGAAGGCTTAGGAGGTGTTTCTGAAGATGAAAAGGAAAAGGCAGTGGTGAGAAAACAAGAATGGAGAAGGACAGATAGTAATTTTGGACTTAGGGTAAAAGCTACAGTTCCTGCAGACCAATGGTACTACGTATCACTAAAAAATACTAAAGAAGCCAGGTGCTGGTAGCTCAGGCCTGTAATCCTAGCTACTCAGGAGGCTGAGATCTAAGGATCATGGTTCAAAGCCAGCCCAGGCAGGAAAGTCCATGAGAATCTTATCTCTAATTAACCACCAGAAAACTGGAAGTGGCGCTGTGGCTCAAGTGGTAGAACACTAGTCTTGAGCTGAAGAGCTGAGGGACAGTGTCCAGGCACAGAGTTCAAGCCCCACAACTTACAAAAAAAAAAACCCAAAAAACAAAAAACAACTAAAGAACAAAAAGAGTAGGGGTCAGTTTGTAATTCAGAAGACACCAAAGGAATCTTGGTTAATTGAGTAAATGAAATCATATGTCACACAGGTCTGGGATATTAGACATATTCAAAAAAGAAAATGTGACCACGAGCCAGTATTTCATGGCTATAATTTAGGAGGCTGAGATCTGAAGATTATGGTTCAAAGCCAGGATCATGGTTCAAAGTTAGCCCAGGCAGGAATGTCCATGAGATGCATCTCAAATTAACTACCAAAAAAGCTGAAAATAGAACTGTGACTCAGTAGTAGAGTGCTAGCCTTGAGCACACAAAGCTCAGCACAGCTCCCAGGACCTAATTTCAAAAGAAGAAACATATCAAATAATCTACCCTTTTCATCTGGAGAATAAAATTAATCTTTCAATTTACAATGATCAGATACAACACAGGATGCCCAGTTATATTTAAATTTTATATAAATAATGAGTACTTTTTTTAGTATGAACATATCCTCTGAAATATTTAGGACATGGTTTTACTAAAAAAAATTGTTCAAAGTGGAAGAAAATGAAGGAGGGCCAACACTGATAAGAAATGTACTCATTACCTTACTTATGTAACGGTAACCCCTCTGTACATCACCTTGACCATAAAAAAAGAAACTGAAAAAAAGAAATAGATTGTGATATTTAACAAATAATGGGTCACTTACATTTGAGTTTTAGACAGATATTGAACAATTTTTTAAATTTTATTGTAAAGGTGATATACAGAGGGATTACAGTTACATCAGGTAA